GGGGTTCTCAACCTGGGGGTCAAACGACCCTTTCACAGGGGTCACCTAAGACCATCGGAAAACACATATATAATTACATATTGTTTTTGTGATTAATCACCATGCTTTAATTATGTTCAATTTGTAACAATGAAATTGGGGGTCACCACAACATGAGGAACTGTATTAAAGGGAGGTTGAGAACCACTGCTCTAGGGTGAGAAGTCACCAAGGAGCATTCAATATCCTGTTGCTTTTCATTCTTCTTTGAAAACTCTTCCCCAAACCTTCCTAACTGTTGAATACTCCAGTTAAGAAAAAAGACACAAGTCACTTTATCAGTGGCCTTTAGAATATTGCTCATGAAAATGAGCCAGCAGAATTGTATTATCTATAGTTACCCAGCACTTTCAGAATACTGAAGGGCTCTCTTCATGATCTGTTCATCAAACTGGATGGTCTTCCCATTGTCTATGGTGATAGCAGCAGTCTTAAAAGGGAACGTGTTTGGATTTGGTGATCCAGTAGCCAAGGAGATGACAGATTTCGGTGCCCTGTTCTGTAGCTCAGCTACAATGAACATGGAAGAGAAGAAAAACTTTCACGGAAAACATTCCTAGTTCTGTATGTTGCATTACACTCAATAACACTGTCAAGTTAAACAATTTCTAGTGACAGGATGCTAATCTAACATAGACATAAAATAACTTTGTGGGGACCTACTTCACCGGTGGCGGAGCTGAGGAGTGGAGGTGTCCAACTAAGAAGGCAGAGTGATCAAGATTATCTAGTTAAGCAAAGAGCCACAATACCAGAAAACCCTGCTCCATTTAGCCCCCACCTGTCTGTCTAGCTTCGTGGCTTCCCCTTTTCTCTCCAATTTACCAGGCCTTCCTCACTCTGCACGCGGCTGCACACTGTGTCTAATCCCTCCTTAGGTCCCGGGAAGAGCCTTTTTAGACAGCACATCCTCTCTCTTACAAGACCAAGTCCCACAACAGCCAGTTCTCGCTGCTGCTGCTCCCTCCCCGCCTTCAGTTCTTACTCCAGTGCATGTCTGCACTCAGAGCCTGGATCACAGTGAGCTTTCAGGGTTGAAAGAATGCAACCAAGTGGTGACTGTAGGCACCACCCGCACCCCGGGGGGAGGGACGCCCCCAGCACTCACTAAAGACGCGGATGGGAGAAGGCCGTCTGGCTGCGCTCCTCGCGGTGATGAACCGTGCGTAATTCATGTCTCCGATCCCCAAGCACCAGGCGCCTTCTTCAGCAGCTGCAGACTAGAATCACCGAACAGCCGCGTCAAGGGCTGCCTCTTCAATCTTAAAAAGACACCGTGGCTGACCGCCAGGCTTAGCCCGGGTCCTGGAGCGCAGCGCCGGCAGAGCGCCTCCGAAACTCCGGGCTGGATCCAGGCGGCACCGCGAGCCTGGGTTCTGCTCGGGCCTGGGCAAGATTAGCAAAGTCCACCCGCGGAGGATCGGTCCACTAGCTCTCGCGATCCCGCACCCCACGTGCTGCGGCCGCAGCATTGGCCGAGGCCGCGCCCCCTCCCGCCCCGCGCCGCAGCCTATAGCTGGCGGGCCGCGTGCACCGCCCCGCCTGGGTCACGGCCCTCGGTGCACGGGCCTTGGGGCGAGGGCGCGCTGCGAGGCACCTGCAGACCTGGGCCGGTGCCTGAATCGATTCAAAGCGAGTACGACTCTTGACCTTGCGGCTGGGAATCGCTGCAAGGAAGCGTCCCAGCATGCAAACGCAACCGGCCGGCGTCCTGCGGGAGGGCTCCCCAGAGCGGGGCCGGAAGACCCCCCCAATCCTGATCGTGAGTACCACCTGGCGGCTGCTGTGGTCCATTGCAAGCGGCTCCCTGAACTGCTTCAGCCGGGCGTTTGCTGCGCGCAGCTTTCTGCGCTGGTGGTTACCTGGCTGGTCTGTGGCCACGCAGACAGTGCATTTTACTCTCAGACCACTGTTGTGTAAAATACTGGCCCTTTTAAACAAAAACAAAAACAAAACAAAACACAACTATAGGCACTATTCTGTGAAGGCAACGGGGAGCAGATGATTGCCAGTGTCACTTTCTCCAAAATCTGAGCATTTTAGAGAGAGGGTGGAATGTTGATAGAAATGTTAGAAGAATCACTCTGAGGGTCTCCTCAAATTTTAGAGTGTCTCTCCCCCTTGAATTTTTTGACCATTCATATGGCCTTAGGTTAGATGCGTATGTCCAAAGAGATTCATCTAGTTGAGTCAACACCTCACCTCTTTTCTTACAGAATAATCCTCCCTGCCTTCCACCTCTCTCCTCGCCACCCGGTTTTCTCCGTGATTTCTCCTTCCTGAACCACCGACATGGAATGTGAACACATGTGAAATGATTTTGAGACAATCTCTCGTATTCTTCAATGGGTATAAAAAAAGTCATTTACTTTTTAAAAAAAATACAAATTCAAAACTGGATTCATTCATTCAGTAAACTTTGATTAAACACTGGATGAGCAATGACACTGCCACAGGGCTCCCTTCTAGAGGAAAATAGACTGGTCCAGAGAAGACCTAGCTAACTACTTATCTAGGTCACTGCAACAGAAAGATGAGGTAACCGGCAAAATCTTTATGCCAGCAGCTGGGTAACAAGGGAATAGCTTCGGTAAAGCTGCTAGAAACCCAAGAGGCAGTAGGGTTCTGGATTCAGAGATTTGAAGTAGTTTAAATCCCACTTGATGGCTTACCAGCTGGATGTCTTTGGCCAACTTACTTAATCTTTCTGTGCATCAGTTTTCTCACAGGGCTATTAGCAGGATTAAATGAGATAATCCACATTAAACTGATTAGGATGGTGGTTGGTACACTGTAAAAGCACTCAGTGAATATTACCTGTTATGATGAGTAGTAACAACGCTTTTAGCAGAACTTAAGGACTCAGCCTCTGCATGTTATTGGCTAGAGAAACTATGTGACAGTTTTTAAGGCAGACTGTGTCTTTAGTTATGTCACATATACCAAACACCACAGGCTGAGTGACAAACAACATAAATTAATTTTCTCACAGTTCTGGAGACTGGAAGTCCAAGATCATGATGTTGGCAGGTCTGGTTTCTCCTGAGGCCTCTCTCCTTGGCTTGCAGCTGGCCACCTTTTCACTGTGTCCTCAATGGCCTTTTCTCTGTGTGAGCATGTATCCCTGCTATCTCTTCCTCTTTTTTATAATGATACCAGTCATATTGGACTAGCCCCCATCTAACAGCCTCATTTAACCATAATTACCTCCTTTAAAGCTCTATTTCCAAATATAGTCACTGTGGGGTTAGGACTTCAGCATATGAATTTTGGGGGACACATTAAGTCCTTAACAGAAGTTAAAACATCAAACATTAATCTCACAGTGTTCATGGGTTGGGGATTCAGGAGCAGCTTGGCTGGTGGTTTTGGCTCAGGGTGTCCCAAGAAGTGGCAGTCAAGATAATGGTCAGGGCTGCAGTCATCTGAAAGCCTGGTTGGGATTGGATGATCTATCTGCTTTTAAAAGTGGTTCATTCACACAATGTATTCATTTTGTAGGGCTGGTGTAACAAAGAACCAAAAAAAAAAAAAAAAAGAAAATTTATTGTCTCACAGTTCTGGAGGCTAGAAATACAAGATCAAGGTCTAACAGGGTGGCTCTTTCAGAGAACTGCAAGGGAGAATCTGTAATGTGCCTCCCTCCTAGATTTTGGTGTTTTGCTGGGAAATTTTGATGTTCCTTGGCTTATAGTTGTGGCACCCCGATCTCTGCCATCATCACCACATCATTCTCCCTCTGTGCATGTCTCTGTGTCCAAATTTCCCTTTTCTTTTTAAAATTTATCTTTATTGTTTAAAGTATTACAAATTTTTTTTCTCCACTGACCCCCTCTATCCTGCACCCACCCTGGCCCTCCCAGGCCTTCACCACCACTCTATTGTGTCCATGGGCTATGCATATATGCATACAAGTTTCCTTGTTAATCACTCCCCTCCCAGACCCATACCCCCACCTTCCCTCCGAGATTCTGCACTCTGTTCCGTGTTTCTATGTCGCTGGATCTATTTTGTTCATCAGTTTATTTTGTTCATTAGAGTCCACATATGAGTGAGATCATGTGATACTTATCTTTCTCTGACTGGTTTATTTTGCTTAGCATAATAAATGAAATAAGCCAGGTCCATTCATGCTGTTGCAAATGGTAAAAGTTCTTTTTTATTACAGCTGAGTAGTATTCCATTGTGTAAACGTACCACAGCTTTTTTATCCACTCATCTGCTGATGGACACTTGGGCCGTTTCCAAATCTTAGCTATTGTAAATTGTGCTGCTATGAACATAGGGGTGCATATATCCTGTCTGATTGGTGTTTCTGATTTCATAGGATATATTCCTAGAAGTGGGATCACTGGGTCAAATGACAGTTCCATATTTAATTTTTTGAGGAAACTCCATACTGTTCTGCACAGTGGCTGCACCAGTCTGCATAACCAGCAGTGCACGAGGGTTCCCTTTTCTCCACATTCTTCTGGGGCATAAAGTTCTACCTTATTTCTTTTAAAAATTTCAGATGATGTACTTTTCAGTTCTATAATTTCCATTTGGTCCTTTATAAAGTTTCTATTTTTCTGTTGAGATTAACTGTCTTTTCATTCATGGAAGCATGTTTTCCTAGAACATTCTGGGCCAAGGAAAACACTAATAGTTGGCTTAGCATAGTTATAATACTTACTTTCAAATCATTGTCTGCTAATTCAAGCATCTGGGTCATCTCAGATGTTACTTTCCTTTGTCTTACCCCCCCCCCACCCCCATATTAAGAAATACTTTTCTGGGCCTTTACATGTTGAGGAATTTTGAATTTTCCTCAGCATTGTGAATGTAATTCTGTAGAAGCTCGGAAATCTGTTATCTTCCTCCAAAGAGTGTTGAGGGTTTTGTTTTAGCTGGGAATTACCTTGGGTGGAATCAAAGTGTAATTCCTATCTCTTGGGTAGCAGTTCAAATCTCAGTTCAGCTGTTCTGCCTTTAGCTCGGCTGCTTTGAGTCTTCGCTGTGCATACATGGCTCAAGGATCAGCCAGGGACTTGAGCAGAGTTTATGTAGAGAATTTGGGATCCCCCCTCTCAGTCTCTCTCCCTTGATGGGGTTTGCCCTTTCATTTTTCCAGCATCTGTAGTTGCCCTGAACTTTTTATCCGTTCGTCTTTAGACCAGAGAGACTGGAGGTTTTCTATTGAGTTAGCTGCCTCACGAAGGTTGATTTAGTCTGTTCTTTGCTGAGTTGTAAAATGAGATCTCTTCTCCCAGTGTAGATCCCGCAGATTTTC